TCTAAACACAAATATCATGAATTCTTTGAATTCCTTTTATTTGATATATCTACATGTAACTTCTTTTTCTAAAATATAACTGATTTTACAGTGTATAAATAAATTTGTTTTTACCCTGCATTCTAAACCATGGGCCTGCGTGTCCCCAGTTGGTGTGGTACACAGTATATGTTCTGTTTGGGGTTTTTAAAAGGGATCTGTGGTCACATAAACTAAGAAATCTCTTAGTTTAATTAGGTTGCTGATAGTGGTATCTATTTTTTAAAATAGACATAATTTTTACTAAAAAGTACATGGCTAGAGATCACATCTGCTGATTCACATGCCTGAATGCCTTCCAAAGCCAGGGCTGGGCCAGGCCAAAGCCAGAAGCTGGCATTCATTCTGGATGTTCCACTTGGGTGGCAGAACCGGAAGCACTTGAGCCATCAGTGGCTTTGCAGAATATACGGGGGAGGGAAGCTGGAGAAGAAACGGAGTAGCAAAGAAGCAAGCCTGGCTCGGAGATGGGTTTCAGCACATTTTTTAAATCTTATCTCCAAAATCAAAAGTAACTCTATCCCTTCTTTAGTTACATTGTTATTTAAGGCACAAAGTTTTTAGAATCTACTTTATCTCCATGTTCATTTTTCAGACACTGAACATTTGGAGAGCAGGAAATAGCTTTATTAATTCTCTTTTTTTCCCAGTCCTTCCTGCTTTTTGTTGTTGTTATTGTTGGAGGGAAAGAGCCAAAATGAAAGTAGAGAGAAATTCCCACCTCCAAAGTGAGCCTTGGATTACTTGTGACTGCACAGAGAGGCATGCACACCTTGCAGGCTCCCTGTAAGAGGGGACACCCTTTTGTCTTAGATGTCACCTCTGTTGTGTGTTAGTTGGCTTACAGAAAGCCAAGCTTAAATGTAGAAAAATTGGGAGCCCTTATTTGATGATCCCAGCTAATCCAGTAGTCAGGTATTATGTAGTTTTAATATTCTGTCCTCCCAGTATTAATATTAATATTCTATCTGGCAGTATTTACAGGTTCGTTGTGTATCAGCTTCATAAACTTTGATAGGGGAATTTTCATGAACACTTTAATAGTGTTCATCTCTGGCTTGTAGAGATGTTTCAGTGGTTATCTTATTAGGAAAGCTTTTTCTGTTGACCTAGTCATCTGGAGTGGACCCTGTATCCGAGGCCAGAAGTCTGCCTGCATCCCACTTTGGAGTCAGGAGGCTGTCGATGCAGAATACGCAGTAGTGCTTTGCAGTTGTTTACCCTACATCCAACCACTTCCTCTGTCCACATGTGTAACCTCTAAAATGTTTTTATGCCTTCAGCACAAAGAAAGTTTTCTATGCTCCATTCATCAAGTTCCTTGAATTATTTATTGTCTTCACTTCCTTACCTCTCACTGATTTCTTGAAAAAAAAAAGTTTTTCTGCTTGCTAACTTGTTATAGAAGATTGGTGGGTAAGGAATATATCAAATGTGCACCTGTTTATTTTCTGTCTGGAATTTGGGCTGAGGGTCGTGACTGGGGAGGCTGTACCAAGGGCTGAGTATTGGTACATGGTACTGGTTACTGTGCAGATGTAACCCCTCCTCAGTTTTGCTTTTCTTTGTTCAGCTGCACAGACAGCTTTCAGTGGTAAGATTTTTTTTTAACTCCGGTGCATCCTTACTGCTGTATCATCATCATGCAGCCCATGCTCACACACATCCTAATAGCGAAACACTTCATACACCGTTCCTAGAATGAAGAGTAATGTGTGGGAAGTTAACCTGGAATCACCAGCATTGTAAATGGAGATAAACTAATGGTACCAATTAATTCCCTGGCAGAAATAAAGGCAAGAGCAAATGAAGAGAACATGGTCGAACAAGAAGGGAGAGAGTTGGAGGAAAGAACCAGGTATGCAAAGTGCAGATGCTTCACAGAGCTAGGTTGATAAGGATCCCACCTTCAGCTCCACTGGGGACTTACGATGCCAAATGGCTGACCTGTTCAGGTACAGCTAAGTGTCACCAGGGGAGACACTTCTCACGAAAGAGCTGACCTTTGCTGTGCTTCTGCTTTCTACCTACCTGGGTCTTCTAAGCCTGCAGCGCCTCTTGAGAAAGGGAATGGTTGCTTTCATGTTGCCAGCACCCAGATGTGTGGGCCATACTCAGAAAAAAAACAGAGAAGTGCTGGGTGTGGTTTAGGAGTGAGGAGGAGGCAGGACCTCAGGAAGAACAGTGCTATCAGGAAACAGGAAGAGTTCTTGGTAGGCTTTGAAGTATGGAGAGGAGTTGCAGCCAGTAAATTCAATCAAGTTGGAGTTACAAACTTGTAAACGGGGTTCCTGTTCTAGCTCAGTGGGTCTGCCTTGGACTTGACTGGTACCCCAAGCTATTACGTGAACATGTTGATGAGGATTTTTTTATGTACACTGATCTTTGAACATATGGAGGTGACGAGCTGTAAATTAGTATTGTTCTTCTGTTTAATTCTTTTTTTTTGTACCATATTTAATGATGCTCAGGTTTGCTGGCATTTAAGAAACTTGCTAATCATTTTCAAGATATGCTTGCTGTTTAAGTCAACTCTAAGCACCAGGTTTTAAGATGTTTCTGATATGTCGTCGTGCGGCACTTGTGGATGGACGTGTTTGTTTTCTGCTGGCTGTATAAGTGTGAAGCATGAGTATAAGCACTTCTCTACTATGCTGTTCTGCGCCCTGTGTTTCCATTGCACTTCAAAGAGGTTTGATGCTATAGCAAGTGGAGAGGATGAGAGAGACGTGTAAAGGACGGCTGTCGTGACTGGAGGACGTGTTATTTAGTTTAGTTGACTTCCTCAGACCCCGTCCACTTGCACAAATCATTCATCGTGCCTTCTGTTTTCCCTGTGGCCCATCTGTATTTTTGAAATGACTAGAAATACATAATTGTTGCTACAATCAGAATGCAATAAGAGTGGTGGTACTTCAGTTGCTAAGAGCTTGTTATATTTAAAAATAAGATTTGAAAAAGCTATTAAAACATAGGCGGTATATGAGATGGTTTAGAAAAGGAACAGTGAAAGTTTGGATCTTTCTAAGTCTCTTTTATCTGTTTCGTTTTAGTACTCGCTTTTAATTCCCTCCTGCAGTGGCTATACTTTCACACACTCCAAGACAGACGGTTCTACAACAAACTAATTCCTAACGCAAACACAGTATGGCATGAATAAGCCTATCTTGGTGGGCTCAGTACATGGGTCTTTGAGAGAGGGTTGTTTTAGGTTTCTGTGAGGTAGTGAGAAATCGTGAAAGCGTCTGATGTCTGTAAGAATCTACCTAGATTTAGGAAGTATTTTTTCTTTAATAAGGTGAGCTTTGCTTCTTCTTCTTTTTTTAAGCGTGACAGGCATACATTTTGACTCAGGTTCTTGGTTTGCCTTCCATCTTAAGGCAGGGCACTTGGACCTTGGCTGTGGCCACCTGGGCTGTCATCCTTCACTGCCTCTGAAAGTAACAGCGTGTGTTTCTACTTGAAGGCTTAGAGTTGGAGAGGAGAGTGCAAGTTCTGGAATGTAAGGGCAACTGTAACATTCTGATGGTAAAGTATCTAGAAAGCTCTAAAACTAGCTTTCATTAGGTAGTGCCTCGCAACCATTCTGTCTCTCCTAAGAGATGAGGAAGAGAGGAACGGGGACAAAAACAATTGACATTGATCTGACTGACTGCACGGCCCCAGCCTGTGTGAGCCCCGCGGCGGTTATTGCCCAGCCCTGCATTCTGCAGGCAGCATGCATTGTGGAAACACCCCTAAATGTTCCAGCCTTTAAATAGCAGCCAGTCTTCTAAAATGATGCTATGTGCTGCAGGAGGAGTGAAAGCGGCTGCCTCCCAGGCAGGAAGCCGGGGGACGAGATGCTTAATTATCCTGGAAGTAAGTGCTTGTTATGTGGAGAGTGCAGCAAGCGCAGACCTCCTTGGTGTCGGAGTGTGATTTGTAGACAACGCTGCCCTGCCATCTTTCCAAGCTTGCGTTTGGCAAGAATTTCGAGTCCACCGCTTGTGTAATTCATGGAGATTTGGAAAAGGATCTTCTGCCTATCTTTTCGGGATGTGTATAGCCATGCCAGATACTGTACTGCCTGCCTGCTGCCCCCAGCCTGACGTGCTCGTAAGGAAGTTCACATTCCCGCTCATCACCTGGAAGGGTGCTCAGTGTTCTGTGATGTGTTGGGGGCCATGGCAGTGGCTACACAGCTGTGTTTTGTTTCTGCGCTCTTCATAAATTAGTACAGTTGGGGTGGAGTCGGCTGCAGTACATAAAGGAAATGCAGGCATTTTGTTAATTAGTGAAATATTTGCAGCTTTAAGAGTAGAGGAAGCCAAGGAGAGCTTGGGAAGAGATGACGGTGAAAGCCGAATTGGTGTTGAAATCTTCCCCGTCTGGGTAAGTAAGAAAGTAGAGAGGGATACAGCCCAGTGCTGATGGATATAATGGCTCTGGGGAAACCCGGTTTATTTTCTCTGCTCTGTATTTGTCTTGCCAACTATGGGAAAGCCTTTGTAAGGAAAAAGAAAACCAGTCCTGGTTTTCAAATAAGGAAGAACTTAAAAAGTCAGCATTGGCAGCATATCTAAAGCAGTGATTTTTCAATTTTTAGTTTTGTCAGTAAGCTAACTGTGCTGCTGCGATGACCTGAGTCGTTTGCTGTGTCTCACTCGGACTTGTCAGCACAGTGGCTTATGATGACCGAGTGATTAGAGGAAGCAGAAGTCTGGAGAAGCCTTAGTCACCTCTCCTCCCCCATTGTGTGAAACAGTTCAGTTTAACTAAACGTTCATGTGAAGTCTTTTTAAAAACAGAAATGATGAATTTTACTAAATGATTTTTCTTGCCTGTAAAAATATGGGTTGTGAACTGTGAACCACAGTTGGTTGTATGATGCTCTTCATGCGTCTGGTTTTGGCAGTTGTGTCTTTATTTTTAGATGTATTTATCAAGCGTTAATGCAAATTGTCTTTCTGTTTTTTTAGAGAAAGCATGGGATTGCACCAAGCACAGAATCCCTGTAATTCAAGTTCCATTCAGTTTCTTCTGAAAGCAAGTCATCTTTTGAAGTGATCCAAAGAAGCTATTGTGGATTATAATGCTCTGAAGATCTGGATTTTCAGTGACTTAAAAATAAGGTGTCTTTTAATCTTTTAAATGAAAGAAATTAAGCTCTCATGCCACTGTTGTGTTTTCCGGAAGCCATTGTCCTAAAGGAAAGTGCACAATTAAAGGGCAGACGTGATGATCCTCTCGGCAGGGGTTTCAGTCTGATAGCGTTGGCATCATGACCAGCCTGAAACGGTCACAGACCGAGAGACCCGTGGCCACCGACAGGGCCTCCATGGTCGGCGCAGATGGCGCCCCCAAAGTCCACACCGATGACTTCTACATGCGGCGCTTCCGGTCCCAAAACGGTAGCTTAGGATCATCAGTCATGGCTCCTGTGGGGCCACCGCGCAGCGAAGGCTCGCATCATGTAACCTCGACCCCCGGAGTCCCAAAAATGGGGGTTCGGGCAAGAATTGCGGATTGGCCCCCACGGAAAGAAAACATAAAAGAATCAAGCCGTTCAAGCCAGGAAATAGAAACCTCAAGTTGCCTTGAAAGCCTGTCCTCCAAAAGCAGTCCTGTGAGTCAGGGAAGTTCTGTTAGCCTCAATTCCAGTGACTCAGCCATGCTGAAGAGCATACAGAACACACTCAAGAACAAGACGAGGCCGGTGGAGAACATGGACTCCCGCTTTCTGATGCCCGAAGCCTATCCCAGCTCCCCTAGGAAAGCGCTTCGCAGAATCCGGCAGCGGAGCAATAGTGACATTACCATAAGTGAGCTTGATGTGGACAGCTTTGACGAATGTATCTCCCCCACATACAAGAGTGGGCCCTCGCTGCACAGGGAATATGGGAGCACATCTTCAATTGACAAACAGGGGACATCTGGAGACAGTTTCTTTGACTTGTTCAAGGGCTACAAAGATGACAAATCTGACCGAGGTCCAACCCCAACCAAGCTCAGTGACTTTCTCATCACCGGAGGGGGCAAGGGGTCTGGCTTCTCTTTGGATGTTATAGATGGCCCCATTTCACAGAGAGACCACCTCAGGCTGTTTAAGGAAAGGGAGAAACCACTCAAGCGGCGTTCCAAGTCTGAGACTGGAGACTCATCCATTTTTCGTAAATTACGCAATGCGAAAGGTGATGAACTTGGAAAATCATCAGATCTTGAGGATAACCGATCGGAAGATTGCGTCAGGCCCTGGACGTGCCCCAAATGCTTCGCCCACTACGATGTCCAGAGCATCCTGTTTGATCTGAACGAGGCGATTGTAAACAGGCACAATGTCATTAAGAGGAGAAACACCACGACAGGAGCCTCGGCAGCCGCTGTGGCGTCTTTGGTCTCTGGCCCTTTGTCCCATTCTGCCAGCTTCAGCTCCCCAATGGGCAGCACCGAGGACCTGAACTCCAAAGGAAGCCTCAGCATGGACCAGGGGGACGACAAGAGCAATGAGCTTGTCATGAGCTGCCCTTACTTTCGGAATGAGATAGGTGGCGAGGGTGAAAGGAAAATCAGCCTGTCGAAATCCAATTCCGGCTCCTTTAGCGGGTGTGAAGGTGCCTCCTTTGAGTCTACCCTCAGCTCCCATTGCACCAATGCTGGAGTGGCAGTCCTGGAAGTGCCCAAGGAAAACTTAGTGTTGCATTTAGATCGAGTGAAAAGATACATCGTGGAGCACGTGGATCTCGGCGCCTACTATTACAGGAAGTTTTTCTACCAGAAGGGTGAGTCGAGCTCTTTTAATCTTGAACATCTTCTTTGGCTTCCCTCTCTGGAGTGGTTAGAGTACTGTAGATTAAGATTTTCAGCCCTGTGGTAGAAGGTCTGCGTGAATTCCTTAGATTTCTTGATTGTCATACTTGATGTCTGTTTCCTATGGTTTCTTCCTCTATGCAGTGTATGAGTTACTTTCCCTCTTTTAAGTATGCAGCTCTTGTATATGAATAATTAATTTTTAATAAAAATCCTTTGCTGATGGAAGTTATAGTCTTATGTAGAAGATTTGCTGTGTTACCTTTAGGCATAAATGTGTGAAGTGGAAAATAATGGTTAACAAGTTTTTTAAAGGATTGCAGGAACAATTTTAATGCTCCCTTTCGTATTCAGACACTTGTACTTAATCCAGAACTCTTTCTCGGCCACCTCAATGTAATTGGGCACTATGGTATGTTCCTAATCCATTGTCCAGGACTTTTTGTGAAAATGAATTACATTCTTTATAAAAGGCCTGTTTTAAGACTCAAGAAGGAGACATAGGGCTTCAGTTTGAGTAGAAAAGGCACCAGGAGAGGAAGAGCCTTCACAATTTGGCTACATCCTTTCTGGTCTCCTCCAGGACAGAGGCACATCCATCTCCCCCCCACCCACCTGTCTCTTTATGGATGGATGGGTACAGATGTATCTAACTTTATGTGTATAGATTGTTGCCGTTCTGCTTCACACTTGTATCTCATGTTTTTCAGAAAGGAACTGTACTTTACTAAAAAGTGAATAACGTTAAATGAACTGTTAAAGAACTTTCAAATCATTTGTGTAGCATGATTAATGAGGGATGAGTTGAAGTCATCCAAGTATGTGATCTGGGAGACTGGGTTGATGACCATGGAAAGATGTCCACTGTGGTACATCGAACACTCTGTCATCTGTGCAGTCAGAGGCCTTGGCAAGAGGCTGACTGCAAAGGACTCCAAAACTGTTTGAGTTTCCACTTCCTATTCAGGCGATTGCATACTATTTAGATGCATTTTTCTGACGAAGATTAGTTGTACATCTGCTGTTCATTATAGCTTTATGACATTCTTCACTTTAAATCACAATTTCTTGAGATTGTTTCGTAGTGGACCCCACTCCAGAATGGCTGTTGATTAGAAGAATGTTATCTCATTCTTAAATATATGTGGCACAAGTCTTGGAGTCACTATGATAATGACCGTCTCCATTTCGTTTTTAAGGAGGACTGGGTTTGTTTTGTCAGAATTACCTTCTGGATTCAGATTTTAGAAACCACATCTTGTTATACTGTCCTGGTAGGGACAGAGTTCTTCAGCTTCACTTACACAGCCTGTGAGGCCAGATAAAGTGTGCTTCATTGGTAATGTGGAGGGTTATTTGGTGCATTCTGAGATATTTTACAGAACCCCTGTCACCAACAGCCTAAATGCCAGTATCATCTCTCCTTCCTTCCAGTTATGACAGTTTAAAACATCTCTGGAAGTTGCCAAATGTCCTTTAGGAGGTGAAGCTATGAACCTAGAGGCTGCTCTACTGTACTTGCACAAGTTTCTTACAGGTATATCTAAACAGTTTCCTAGGGAGGCCGCCTTGCACAGGTTAAAACATAAGAGAAAACATGCCATTTACAAAGGCAGTGTCATAATGTTAAGGAAGGAACTTTACTGAGCATTTACATCCCATGCGCTGTACTAAGTAATTAATCTGACATACATTTTCTCATGGCAACCTCTTGATGCCCACGGAGCAAGCATTCACTCATCCCATTTTCCGGAGAAGTGGGACTTACATGATGCGCTGCCATGGACCTTGTAATGTTAGGACAAGGATCCACCTTGGCTCTGTCTGAGCCCTGTGCCTCCTCACTATTCCTTGCATCTACTTTGTGAGAACAGAGCAAGAGGGACTCTCAATGTATTTACCTTTAAGAAGGATGAAAAGGAATTGGGAGCCCTGGATTCTAGAGTAATCCTACTCATTGGAATTTCTTGCATTTAAAAGCCACTAACCCAGTAATTGCTAATTTGAAGTGTGGTGCATACCTTTTTTTTTTAACCTAATACGATTGGAACCAGCTAAGTGAAAAATATTGATTTAAATATTAGAGATGTTAAAATATGGTAGATATCCAAAATATCTTACGTATTTTATTAAAACACCTAGAACAATGCATTTGCCACCTGCTTTTCTTTGGCTGTGATTCTGCTTGTTGGATTCCACACTGTATTAGCAGTCTCGAGCACAAGAGCTAAAGTGTGAAGCCAGCAAATTAACTTAGTGCAAGATCTTAGCTTTCAGGGTTGTTTTCCTCCAGCTCTGTCACCCACATTTAAGGCAGAACCTTTCTGACGTGTTTGTTAGCTTGCTTTCAAGTCTTTCCAGAGCTTGTAGTATTGCTCTCATGCAAACAGCGTTTATATGTAATGTCTATAATTCATTAGGCTTTTTTTTTATTGTTAATAACATTGTATTATGTGATACAGTTTTATAGGCACTGGGATTACCCCTACCCCTCCCACAACCCTCTCCCCATGGTGGATTCCTCCACCTTGCTGCATAATCACAGTTCAAGTTCAGTTGAAATTCCTTCATTGCAAGCATATACCTGGCATAGAGTCCAGGCATTAGGTTTTAAAGTAACAAGTTAGCTCAGGTAAAGGTTAGGGAGACACGGCTGACCATCTCCAGGAAGGTAAGTTGGTGAGGGCAGGAAGTATGTGTGGTATTCAAGGTTGCCCACCAACCTGTTCATGCCTTTAGATATTCATCAGCATGGTTTGATGGTGATCTGTAGGCGTCAGTTAGTCCAGGTGCCTGGCGCATAGGACCTGCTGAGTGGTTCTTGTTCGGCCACATCACTTGGTTGTTAATGTAAAGTCATTTATCACAACGTAATAGTATGTCACGGAGTCATCACACAGGGTGGCATCATGGGAAGCAGAAGTGAAGCATGTTCAAGTGTAACTGTATCTTTAAAATGTATTTGTACTGTTTATTACAATCTAAAGTACAGTTTTAGCATTTCTCATCCAAAATATTTTGAAATCAGAGTTTCTGAGTCCCAACATGGATGCTACAAGTGGAAAATTCCCCACACGTGAAAGCTCATTTCACATACAGAATTATTTAAAAAAAAATACTGTATAAAGTTACTTAGAGAATATGTATGTAAGAGGCACAAATGAATTACTTATTTAGAGGTGAGGCCCTTTGAGATATTTCACTGTGGATTTATAAATAATCTAAAAAAAAATCACCTAAATCCAGAACACTTCTGGTTTCAAGCATTTTAGATAAGAAATAATCAAAATGGATATTACAAAGATTGTGTTTAGTAACTTTCACTATATAGGTTTGAGTCAAGGAAATGTGTTTGCTAACCGACTTTTCTTGGTGAGAACCTTAAAGTCTTGTTAAAGGAGCACAGCAGGTGAGATGTGTTGACCCTCTGGTGCCACATGTAGTGCCACCAACCTGGCCATTAAGGCAGCCTCCTCATGATCACCACCCAGCTTCCCTTCTGTTGGCCTGCTGCACTCCTGACTTCAGGATGGCTGAGTCGTTGAGAAATAAGATTCTACAGAAATATCCTCCATGACTAAACTTGTGTGTAAAATTTAGTCCTGTTCAGCTGAAAAGGCTGTGACTCCATATAACAGGAAGTAGTTTTAGTAAGTTTCATTACTTTGCATATTTAGACTTTAGAGAACATTTGACTGCAACACATAGACCAAGTCCATTGTGGGAACAATGCTGCTGGGCCAGTGGAGGAATCCATTGTTTGTGCTTGGTAGACATGTGGTATTAAGGCTTTTCTTTGCAGTTCTTTTCTCCTGCCCACTTGTCTCCCAGTTTGCTAGTGTGTGTGCACCTGCACTCGGGATGAAGTGGCTACAGTTACACAACAGAAACTTTATGATGCTACTTTGTGTCTTACGCACATCTCCTGACTTAATGCTCATGGGAACCTGAGGTGAACCTGTCACTGTGAAAGAAAATCAAGTACAGACACAGACCAACCAGGGGGGGTAACATTCAGATCAATCCAGTTATGGGCTTAAGGTGTTTGCTTAGAGGGGGGAACTAGCGCTTGTGCACCTGCCTTATCCTGATAACTGAACCACCGAACCAAAGTGGTCATTACAACTTCCTCATCCTTCCTCTTACGCCTAATACCTGTCCCTACCACCCCGGAGCACTGGCATGTTCACTGTCACAAAGATGAGGGTTTCACAGCATGCTGGGTCCTAGGAGGTGTTCAAGGAGATCAGATGAATTTCTGTTGCTACTGAATTGCTTTCCCTCTCACCCTCTGGCAGTCAGCCAGGGTTAGCAGCATCCCTTTAGAATATCACACTTCATTTGTGCTGAAGTGATAGCTTTAGCACTCTGTTAGTCTCCATTTTGCTGTCAAGAGCTGTTTTTCAAATGAACATCATTGAGTAGCCATTCTAAGCTATAGTGGGGTTTCTGATAAATCTAGAACACCACAAAGCAGAACTGGGGGAGGGGGGAACTAAATCGAGACCCAAACAGCTATACCATGTTAACAAGTCATGGCTGTCCCCTGTCATAACATTAGAAGCATTTAAAAACTACACCACTCCAAAAGAATTTTTAATGAAAAAAAATTTATTTTGCCATAGCAGATCAACTATTTTCAAGAGTTCTTGTGTTTATATAAGCTCTTTGTGAATGACATAGGAACATTCGCAGATATCAGGCCTTGGAGGAGAAATGAACCCTACAGGGCTGCACATGTGTGTGCCAGGTATCTTTACACTTAGTCGTTGCTGAGCAACTTGACTTTCGTTCTCGATGTAGTTAGTCCTTTCATTGCTTCAGTAGCAAACCAGTGAAAAAAGACTCAGATGCTGTGAATGCAAGCGACCCGAGCTCAGGTGCCTCTCCTACGTTTTCTTATTCTAGAACTCTTGTCCAAAGTGTATGACGTTACACCACTCTCCCCACAATCTGTGAGGTGATGAGACAA